TTCCTGGGAAGAAAACTGAGTCTCAGGAAAAGAGAGGAGAGAGAGAGAGAGAGAAAGAGAGAGAGAGAAATGGCCATGATTGCATAGTCTATTAGTAATAATGAAAGGACAATAATCAGTTCTCAGATACATACTTCAAATGAGAACTTACCTTAGATTTTTGTTCTTTTTTCTTATATTACATTTTCAGTTGTTCACTGCCTATGGTAGAAAAGGCACAGTTCAATACATTTGCTTTATTGTTTGGACCAGGGCTTGGAGTGTCTATTATGAAAAACTTAAACAAGTTAGTGCATATTTATAGATTACAGTTTCTAAAAGTACCTTAACATCAGGACCAATGCTATAGGCTGAGCCTTCCTCTACCTGCAGTGCCCACATCACATATGGGCACCCGGTCTTGTCCCAGCTGCTTCTCTTCCAATTCAGCTCTTTGCTTGTGGCCTGGGAAAGCAGTGGAGGAGGTCCCTGCACCTGTGTGGGAGACCCTGAGGAAGCTCCTGGCTCCTGACTTTGGATCAGCTCATCTTTGGGGAATGAACCAGTATATGGAAGACCTTTCTCTTGTAACTCTACTTTTCAAATAAATAAAATATTTAAAAAAATAAAGTACCTTATCATCAGAATTATAGATTGAGAGAATCTTAAAAACCACATTAATCCAATACTCTTATTATGCCCTATTCAATTATTCCCCTGGCAATAACCTTACTTCAGCCCATTGGAAAAAGGAAGACTCTTCTTAGGAAACCTACTCTGATTTTTAGAGTTTTAACCATTTGGCTTTTATTTTTCTTTTTTTAAACTTATTTGACAGGTAGAGTTAAAGACAGTGAGAGAGATAGAGAGAAAGGTCTTCATTCCATCAGTTCACCCCCCAAATGGCCGCTATATGGCCATCACTGCCCCGTTCCAATGCCAGGAGCCAGGTGCTTCCTCCCAGTCTCCCATGCAGGTGCAGGGCCCAAGCACTTGGGGCATCCTCCACTGCCCTCCCGGGCCACAGCAGAGAGCTGGACTGGAAGAGGAGTGACCTGGACTAGAACTTGGCGCCCATATGGGATGCCAGCACCGCAGGCAGAGGATTAACCAAGTGAGCCACAGCGCTGGTCCAAGTTTTAAACATTCGGAAGTTTCATTATTTCTGCTCAACTTAACCCTGCTTTCCTCTAGTTTGTTTTAAGTGATTTAATAGAATATCTTCTTGTTCTTGTTGGGATACATTTTGTTTCTTTGATTTTTGTGGAAGATAAATGAATTTTTTTAAAAAAATTATTCAGGTTACTTCAGCTCTGAATTGTGGTCAGAGGAAGAGATGGAGTTTGTGAGGCAAGGAGAGAGGGAAAAGAGGGAAGAAATACAGACAGATTTCATAGGGATACATTGTGATGAGGAAGCATCTCAGGAGCATGGAGATGCAGAAACCAGAGAAAGAGAAAGAGATAGAGAAGAGAGGAGAGAAAGTGAGAGATGGGGAGGTTGGATGGGGAAGGGAGGGGAGAGAGCAACAGGAGTAGATGGGGAGAGGGAGAAATGAGAAGGGGGAGGGAGACCAGAATGAGAGTGGGGAGAATAGGGGAAAATCAGGAAACTGGTCTGGAAGGATTTATACCTAAGTGTCATGTGGTTGGGATGACAGGGGAACATTGCTTCTGACACTGAATATGTACAGTTTGGATCTCTACAAAAGTCCTCAAAAGGAACATAATGTAGAGCATCCTGCACTGTGTCATAGCTGGTGGGACTGCTGCCGGCTGTGCCGGCATCCCATTTGGGCACTGGTTCAAGTGCCAGAGGCTCCCCTTCCCATCCAGCTCCCTGCTAATGCACCTAGAAGAACAGTAGAGGATGGCCCAAGTCCTTGGGGCCCTGCATGCATGTGGAAGAGCCAGAAGAAGTTCCTGGATCCTCTCTTTCTCTCTCTTTCTCTGCCCCTGCATCTCTAACTCTGCCTTTCAAATGAATAAATAAATTTAAAAAGATATAAATTTATATATAAAAAAGAAACATAATATCCTATTTGCTGCTCTATTTGGAAAACTAAAACACGACTCTAGTTTAAATAATGGGTAAACATTGTAGGAAGTCATTATGTGTTTAATTCTACCAAACACTTAAATGAGAGTTTTGAAATATTCTCTTTTACTTTTTATGGAGAATAAAATCTATAACTATCTGTGAAAATTAAAAGAATGCCTACCAAGTCATAAGAGAAGACTCTATTTTGTACAGAATTATTTTGGGCCAGTGGTGTGGCACAGCAGGTTAAGCCATCACCTGTTTACCTGTATCCCATGTGGGCACTGGTTCAAGTCCAGGCTGCTCCACTTCTTTTTTTATATATTTTTTTTATTTGACAGATAGAGTTTTAGACAGTCATAGAGAGAGACAGAGAGAAAGGTCTTCCTTCCATTGGTTCACTCCACAAATGGCCACCATGGTCGGTGTTGCGCCGATCCAAAGCCAGGAGCCAGGTGCTTCCTCCTGGTCTCCCATGCAGGTGCAGGGCCCAAGCACCTGGGGCATCCTCCACTGCCCTCCCAGGCCACAGCAGAGAGCTGGACTGGAAGAGAAGCAACCGGGACTAGAACCCGGCACCCATATGGGATGCCGGTGCCTCAGGTGGAGGATTAACCAAGTGAGCCACGGTGCCGGCCCCAGGCTGCTCCACTTATAATCCAGCTCCCTGCTAATGTGTCTGGGGCAGCAAAGGAAAATGGCCCAAGTCCTTGCACCCATGTGGGAGATCCAGAATAAGTTCCTGGCTCCTTGCTTTGGCCTGGCCCAGCTGGGGCTATTGCAGCCATTTGGGGAGTGAACAGAAGATGGAAGACCCTCTGTCTCTTTCTCCGTCTCTCTCTCTCTCTAAATCTGCCTTTGAAATAAATAACTGAATCTTCAAAAAAATATTATTATCTGTTTCTGTTTTTGAGATACTTCTACTGAAGATTAAGTCAAACTTAAATCTTGACAGCTATAACCATTAATCATAATAGATCTTTGGGTTTGTCTTATAGGCAAGAATCAATTGCAATATAGTTGTAATAGGTTAATTTAGTAGAACCAAAATTAAAACTTAAATTTTCTTGAAGTCATTTACCTCTCAAATATGATATATTCATCTCTTTAAAGTTTTCTCATTTATTTTTCAAACCTGATCCCCTTCACTTTATACCATTTCTTGCACATTAAACGAAAGAGACATAGATATAAGAGCCTTAAAATGTAAAGCGGTTCAAATTGTTATTATATTTTGGCAGTGGAAAATTTATCTCTCTTAGCTATATTGAGTAGAGTTGGAACAATTTGGTGGAGAAAAATTCATAGCAAATTTGAGATCCAAAGGCTTCATTCAGTTCTCTGATCTGAGGCTCACAGAGACTGTGATCTATGTCTTACTAATTAACCTCAAAGAGCCTCTGCTATCCACAAAATTAAGAATTTGAACTAGATTTTGTCAGAGTGAAAAACTGGTAGAAATGCGGTTGACACTTCATTTTTGAGTGAGAAGTGGAATCTTCATATATCTTCAAATCAGTAGTAGCAAAGAAAGAAGCTTCCTGACATCAACATTTCCTTCTTTTTCCCAGTTGGTAATGTATAAAAGTTGTTTGCTCACCGAAGGTCACCTTTTGAAGACTTAGAAGCCTACATATTTGAAGTCACCAAAGATATAATGCATGACTTCTTTGCACTTCAGTGCCTTGCAGTAATATCTCAACTCATTGCAGGCTCACCTACCATGAGATAAATGACAGAGTGGAAAGGAAAGGAACCCATCAACTGATACTTTTGATTTAGAAGTGCAGGTTAAACTGTTACCCAAAAGTGCTACAGTCTGCAAATAAGACACTGCAGGATAATCTCTAAGCTCCCAAACAGCCACAAAACAGAGATGGGACTCTGAAAAACATCCTACAGTGAAAAAAAAAAAAAAAAAAAAAAAAAAAAAAACGACTGTGGTAGGGATGAAAATTGAATGACATCCTTTTATAATATGGGTTTCAACATTGATATCAGGTTTGTTCTTAGCTCTTTTGTATCAAGCATTGGTAAACTGGTTACTGGAACTCAAAAGTTAGAAAATTTTCCATCCACATGAATTTCCAGATAGCTAACTGTACCAAGCATGGAAGGTTGGAGGAGGCATTTATAACAGCCTGTCTGCCACTACTGTGAGACACAGGGTAGAATCACAGGGTGCTGTGTGGTACCTAAGTCGTATCTGTAAGAACAGACACAGGGTAGTGATGCTCTCCAGTGTCCTCACGTGGGAAAAGTGTTTCAGAAATGCTTCTCTAGAAATGCTCTTACAAGTGACAAAAGGCTTATAATTAAGCACATTGAGTTTCCCTCTTTACATGTTTAGCTTTAAATTCAAATTAAAAATAATAGCTAATAAAGGTTGGAATACACATGTTACTTTTCCAGAATTTTTATACTGTATGAGGTGCTTTAGATTTGTCTTTAACATCACTTGGGATATTTCTTTAATGCAATGAATTAGACCTTTGATAATGGGCAAAATAAGAAAGATAAAATTAGGTCCAATCTAAACTACCCCATATTCTCTAATGCGAAAAATGAGATTTACTAAGTTTCTTACTTGGTAAACAACGGAAAATTTTATCATTTTTATTTGAGTGGAGACAAAAGCCTTTATACACTTTTTTAGAAGCCCAACAGTAGTCCTTGTTTAAACTTCAACCTGAAGTTGTTTCAAAACTGTCTTTCATCCTACTGGGGTCGTCACCTTCTCACATGGGATTATTTTCTATTTCAGGTGTAAACTTGGAAATAAAAAAAAGTTCTCTCAAGAGAAAGTGAAACACTTTCACTTTTTGTTGTTGTTGTTGTTGTTATTCTAAGTGTACTATCATGGAAAATTCCAGTGTTAGTTATATGATAATATGTACATTTGGGGGAATGAAACTTACTGCCTTTTCCTAGCTAAATATTTATATCTTTACTCAAATAATTATTATATCCCTATTTCTAAGGTATGAAATAATGAATTTCAAGGAAATGGGAAAAGATTATTTTGATTACATCAATGTTGGAAGTTGGGACAATGGAGAATTAAAAATGGATGATGATGAAGTGTGGTCCAAGAAAAATAGCATCATCAGATCAGTGTGCAGTGAACCATGTGAGAAAGGCCAGATAAAGGTAAAATGGAGTCTGTGTTTAATTTTTGTTGTAAATTTCATAGTTAATTATTGTTAGCTATTTTGAAAATTTTGAGACACTTGTTCTACCTTTTCTATTGTAAACCTTTAATGTTAGAAGTAATGTGGGGTTTCCTCTTTCTACTTTTTTGTCTTTAATTTATTATGAGATCTAGCATGCCACCTACAATAAGCTTAGTAGTTGGTCTGATTTGACCAAATGAACAAATTGATGAGCTATGTTCGCCTATACCCTTTCTGTTGTACAAGTCTCAAAGACATTGTTTTCAGGGAACAAATAGTTTAGCATTAGCATTAATTAGTTTAACAAATGTCTGTTAATGTGATTGTTAATTACTGAGAATGTAAAAGTAAGTGAGCTGTTCATTGTTAGACAATTACAGTCTAGGTGATGAAATATATCATGGGAACAGATAAATAGCATCACATAAAATATGAAAACTTTATTTAAAAATAAAAATGAGAGCTGTGGTTTCATAAGTATGAGTAGGGAGGGAGGAAGAGAGGGTGAAAGGGAGGGTTATTTTGAACAAAATGCCAAACATTGCTGATTCATAAAATGGGTATTTTTCAGAGTGATCATTTATGTAGACAGAACAATAACCAGAAAAGTACAGAAGTGGCCAATTAACAACTGCTCTGAAACAACAGTGAATAATCTAGGGCACATTGCTCTAAATGGTTATTGTAAAAGAGAAGACTGAAATAACAGGTTGAAGCCAGATTTGTACATGGTTTTGTCATCCTAAGTAGATTTGACTTAATTTTGGTATACAAGAGCCAGAGAATGATTTCAACCAAATGTTGACATAAGTTGGGCTGTGGTGGGTGAAAATTCATGAGTAGAGTTATTTTAAAAAAAGAAAGAATTAAGAATGAAAGGACACTGTGAAGGTAATGACAAGGGACCTGAATGAGAGAAGAAACAAGAAAAATGAAATGGGGGCAAAGGATATATTTGGGAGAAACATTATAGAAGTAGATTCAGTCAGTCCTATCTACTAATTAGATGTTGTATTAGAGAAAATAAAGAAGTTCAACAAAATCAACTGCAACTTCATGTGTTAGTAATTAAAATGTACATTTGTCAAGAATCCAGAGTTGTGGTTGGTTTTGAACAAAGGTGATAGGTAAGTTTGGAGGATATTGAAAAGTTCCTTTTAGGTTGAGCCATATCTGACCATGATTATAGAAAATAAAAACCAACTTTTTAAAAAAAAGTTGATAATAAAATTTTATAAAAGGGAGAAGAGGTTAGCTATGTGGGTGCAATGCCCTAGGGAAAAATAATATCAAAATAATTTATTTCTTCACCAAAAAAATTTTAAGACACTATAGTACCACATTCCATCAGCAACTAAACCTGGAGCAGTTGGTCTTTTCAATGAACTTCAACTTCCCTCCATTTAGAAAACATTTGACATGTTTGTTGATCAGTGACTAATATTGAAAATTAAATATATCAGTATCAATAGTAGGGTTTTCCAAGGGTAGTTCTGAAGGTGTAGAAAGCATTACAAGCAGAAGGAAGGAAGAGAAAGACAAAGTAAGATTTTTAAAATTATTAGTACCTGCTAAATGGCTTGATAGCTATGGAATATCTGAAAATTTCTATATGTCTCCTTATGGTATAGAACAGTATCTGATAAATTATGGCCTATAAGCTAAACCTGCCCTGCTGCCTATTTTTGTAAAGTATTACTGAAATAAAACCAAACTTATTTCTATGTATTATTTATGACTATTTTCATGATAAAGTGGCAGAGTTGCATAGTTCAGTTGCACTAGAGGTTATATAGCCCCACCAGAGTATTTGTAACTCAAGCCTTTGCAAAAAGTTTGCCCTTGATAAATAGTGACAAAAGAGTTAGGTGTCCTAGATAATTATCCTGCAATTGAATTTTTCATGTAACTTTTTAGACTCACCTAGAATAATGATTGTTTGTAATTTTCAAGGCTTCCTGCAGAAAGACCACATAATATAAATTACCATATGGATATTCTTTGTTTTTGGCCCTTCATAGTAGAACAGTTTGAACATGTAACTTACGCTGAATGGCTGATTTGAAATATTGCTTTATATACATTTCTACACAATTATACTTGGAATAACTTATTCAATGGAAGAATTTGATTTCCAGTTATCATAGGTTTTTTTTGGTTTGTTTGGTTTTGGTTTTTTTTGTTGTTTTGTTTTGTTTTGTTTTTGACAGGCAGAGTGGACAGTGAGAGAGATTCAGAGAGAAAGGTCTTCCCTTTTCCATTGGTTCACCCTCCAATGGCCGCCAAGGCTGGCGCGCTGCAGCCAATGCACCGCGCTGATCCGAAGCCAGGAGCCAGGTGCTTCTCCTGGTCTCCCAAGCGGGTGCAGGGCCCAAGCACTTGGGCCATCCTTCACTGCACTCCCGGGCCATAGCAGAGAGCTGGCCTGGAAGAGGGGCAACAGGGACAGAATCCGGCGTCCCCGGGACTAGAAACCCGTGTGCCAGCGCCGCAAGGCAGAGGATTAGCCTTTTAAGCCGCGGCGCCGGCCCCAGTTATCATAGTTTTAATGTCAGTTATTTTGTAAAAATGTTTGTTTAGTCTTCGTTAAAAATCTAGAATTCTGTTTTCCTAACTAGATTTCATTTTCATTCTATTAAATATGCATATGCAATATTTTCTTAATAAAGTTTTATGTTGTAACATAGCAACTTTATTAATATCAATATCTTATCACATTGTTCTGAAAATCATAAACTGGGTTTCCATGAAAGGGTTTAGTATAGCAAAGGTTCACATATGTTAAACATTTTTATTCATAAAGAAAACATCACTACTTCCATAATGTTCAGGTAAAATGGAAATTGTTGTGAAAGTAAGTTGTCACTACTTCTTGTGTTTAAAATGAATATTAAATAGAACTCAACGTGCAAAAAATTTTTTTAAATCATTTCTGAATGATCAGAATAAGATATGTTATCATTTTGGATTTTAAAGGAGATTATAATATTGGAATTATTCTTGGAAAAGGCTATGATCCAATCTTGTTAAGAAACTGAAATTCACAAACAAATGAAAACTGAACCATGGGTAGTCAGCCTATTTCTAAAGGGAAAAATGCAGCTGCATTTATTTGCCAGTCTCTCCTAAGACCTAGAAAAGGAATTTTCAGTGTTTGAAATGCACCTATTTGCATTACAAAATCTAATAATTACTCAATGATAGTTTAATTATCAACTTGAAAAAAAACTTTTTGACCATGAACCTGAAATGTAATGGGAATTAATATGCATATAAATGACAAAGATAGGTAATGTTTTTAGAGTGTTCTACACTTCTCAAATCACTGTGTGATATTTTTTTAATTCTCAGAAAAATCCTACAAAGTGTTAATAATGCAATAAGCTTGGTTTGAAGAAACTAGGCACTGGCTGGAAGACTGTTCAAGGCTGCTCAACTACTTAATGGCTATAAATAAGACTAAAACTCTGGTGCCTTTTAATTCCCACACCAATATCCATGTCCCTGAATTTTTCAAAGTATCATGAAGTCTATATTCTAGTGAGGCTTAATATTTACAAACATGAGTCTTGAAGTCCAGCATATATCATATGACCCCCTCATTTACACTAATATTCTGTATGAGCTAACTCTACCTCAGTTTTCTCCCCTAAAAAATATGAGTGATATGAAACTATATGCCTCATGTAAAGCTGTTCTAGTGCTGTAACGGCATAACAGCATATGGCATACACTGAGTATCCTATAAATAGTCAGTGCTATTAGGAATAATACTCTAGCTAGATTAGTCATGTCTTATTAATAACTTTGCCTCACTTATAAGATTATTTTAGGAAAAGGATGTTTTGGGTTCTTTTGTCATGGTTTCCTACTTGCATTGTTTCAGTTTTAAGAGTAAATAGCAGGAACAGTAAAAAATGTAAAGGAAAATGTACCATGTTACAGTTATACTGGGTTATGGATACCTAGATGATTTTGTTTTCAAATGACATGAATAGAATCAGTATCTAAGACATGGACTGTAAAATGTAATCACTGTTGTGACTGGCTATTAATCACAATTTTAATTATTTGTGAGAACATTTGATGAATGTTTTCTATTCCACAGGGCAATCCATGCACCAGTGATAGGGAAAAACAGCACATGGAAATCTAAAGAATAACATCTGGGATTCGTTCAACTGTTAAATTATTTCAATTATGTACTACTGTCTTAAAAATCAATTAGATGAAGAGGTATATAATAGTCACAATGACCTTCTCTACCTTCATCATAAGTAAAGCAAAGCTACTAATATAGGAAGGAATAACCTGAACTGTTAAACCAGATTTTTAGTGGAAAGAGGCCCAGAGATTATCTCCAGAAAAACCTTATCTTCTGTCATAATCTTTCTACTTAATACAAATTCTCAATTATTTTTACAATTAGGGAAAATATTTGAACATTAGAAGATAAAGAGTGGTTTCTACTTACAATTATATAATTATTATAGGCAAGCCAAGGTAAATAAAGGGAGCAAGGGGTCAGGGCTGTGGAACAGTAGGTTAAACCTCTGCCTAACTATGCCAGCATCCCATATGGGTATCTGTTTGAAACCTGGCTGCTCCACTTCCAATCCAGCTTCCTGCTTGGCCTGGGAAAGCAGGGGTAGATGGCCCAAGTTCTTGGGCTCCTGCATCACATGAAAGACCTGAAAGGAGCTCTTGGATCCTGGCTTCATATCAGCCCAACTCTGGCCGGTGTGGCCATCTGGGGAGTGAACCAGCAGATGGAAGACCTCTCTGTCTGTCTCTCCCTCCCTCTGTCTGTAACTCTTCTTGTCAAATAAATAAACAGATCTTTAAATTAAAAAAAATTCTTAATTTAAGGAAAGAAATGCAGGGAGGTGGGGGATTGAAGGAGGGAGAAGGGAATGCATTATGATTATCTTCTTAGAATTGTTTCTATCAAGCATGTGTAATCTGTTCTATTTATATTGATTTTTTAATGTAAGGAAAGGAAAAGCACAGATATTGGGGAAAATTCAATTCCATAAACACACAAGTAAATGTATGTGTATGTATACATGAGCGCAAACACAAATATCCAAAACTTATCACCCCAAAATTTGAATTTAATCAAATTATTAATCCTGATACCAACCAACCTGATGATGCTGAATTCATTGCTTAAACTCAGCCTGTTTATTTAATTATAGAATAATTGAAGCATAATACTAAAGCATATACAGCCTACCTAGTATAATTTGAAATGATGTAGATGTATAGTAAAGGCCATCCTGCATTGGAAAGCAGAGGATTCGGGTAAGGGATTGATGGATTTTTAAAAATCTATACCAAAAAAAGTTAATCAAGATTTTTAAATACTTGCTTTAGGTGATCCGGAAGGGAGAAGTCAGCTGTTGTTGGACCTGTACACCTTGTAAAGAGAATGAGTATGTCTTTGATGAGTACACCTGCAAGGCATGCCAGCTAGGATCCTGGCCCACTGATGACCTGACAGGTATATGTATCACAGTGTTAACCGTGCACATGCCTCCGGGGGTGAGGGTGTTATTTCTGAGCAAGTATTTGTCATCTTGGGTAGTCTTGAAACAACAAATTTATGAATTCCCTTAAGAACTCAAACCTCCTGAAATCTGACTGAATCATAAAAATCTTCAGCCACATATTTGCCTGTACTCAGGTCCTGACTTCCAAATGAGAGCTTAGTTCCTAAGTTGTACACTAGGCATTCTCAGCCCATTCTTAGAGCACTCCCAGACGTTCCTGAAAAGGGCTGAGCAGTGTGTCATCTGAGGTGAAGAGGGACAGAAGTATCAGCTAAGAGACCAAAGTATATCATAACATATCCAAGAGCAAAAAGTAGAAGTTTATCTGAAATAACTTTACTTCTGTTAGTACTTGTTCTTAATTGAAACCAGGAGCCTCTGACTAATATGTTTAAATTAATATTGACACAGGGCAAGACTTATTTCTGCATAGCTTTTGGCTTTTGCAGTTGCTGTTTTTTTATGTTTTGTTTTTTGACTTTTGACACCAAAGAATGTCCCTATATGTTTTTGGTACTCCAGTGCTTCTCTCATAGCCATTTCTAGATTTTACAGTGCAAAACTACAATGATTCCTATCATCCTTTTTTCCAGTTCTTCCTCAATAAACATGTGTTAAATGCACAAGATGTGCCCATTTCCCTACCAATGAGATACCGATAAAGAAACAAAGATACTACCTTATCTTCATGAAGTCCACAGTTTAATGAAAGGCAAATAATGAACATGTGATTATAATATAACAGGACATGGATTAGTACATATGGGAACATGTGTAGGAACCCACAAAGCTGAGTTTCTAGAGAAAAGAGCATTCCAGGCAGAGCACATGTCATGTAGTATGTCAGGTTGTCTGATAATTTTAAGCTTAGGTAAATTTAGCATAAAACTCTTTGACATTAGAAGATTATAAGGTCTTCAGTGATACACTCCGTGCCTCACAGGGCAAGTGCTTATTTATAGTAGATGTATGAAGCTTATTTCAAAAGCCTGGCTATGAAAAATCCTGTCATCCTGGCACTTTGGAGATCAGACCACATTAAGAGTCCTTTTTAATGGTTAGTATTTATCTATAAAACTTTCCTTAGGAAAAATGATTTAATAAAATATCTAAGTGCCTTGTGATAGCATTTAAAGCCAGCTTTTACTATTTGACAGTGAGCTTTCTTGTACTCTTATGCATCTGCTATCTTCAGAGCCAACTTGGTGCTAAACACAGAGCCTTCAATAAATTTTTTTGAACATATGAACTACTAGGTGCATATGGTGTATTTACGTGTATGCACACACACAGTAAAAATGCCAGAAAGAAAAAAAAAAAAAAAACACTATGAATAGTTTACTTGGGAGGGATGTGAGAAGCGGTATTGGTGATCTTTTCTCCATGATACTTCTTTACATTTCTTTTCTAATTTCACCTGGATTATTGTTAAATTGAACACAATATCTTGCTTATTCAGCTATCTTGCATGGCTAAGTTCCTTGTGAGTGAATATATAAGTATAACTTTTTGTTCTACATTAGTAAGACTGTGCTGCTGGAAATGATCACAGTCTTTGCCTGAATTCATTTAAATTAGGTAAGTATTTTAGTGCTATTTTCAGTATTATAATGGATGCAGAAGAGGTTGAAGTAAAAAATAGACTAGGTTCCTATGTTAGTTCATCCCATTTCATAGTTCTTATGTATCTTAACAATCTTCAGTGGAGAAAGGTGTCACACACACACACACACACATACAGTGTTAAGTAATATAAAGAAAAAGAAATAGTATAAGACCATGAAAATACAAAAATTTATATTTGTTGTAATCAAAGATAGTCTTAAAAAGTAAAAATTAACTAACCCTAACTGATAGATAGAAATAACTAGTAGGTAATAGTGGCAGGATGTTTATGGCTGATGAAATAGCACATGTATAGTTCTATACATGGGTAAGCAGACAAGAGAGTGGTGTCAGAAGAGACAAGGAAGGCAGCAGGGATTGGATCATGTATAGCCTAAAATCTATTCAAGATTTTAGGTTTTTTTTGCTATGAAGTACAGTGAGAAATCATTTCAAGGATTTCAGCAGCAGCAGAAAATCACAATGATAAATACATATTTAAAATATCATCCTGGCTTCTGTGAGGAAGAATAGCTTAGGAGGGATTAATTGTGGAAACAGGTAGATAAGTTGGATAGTTATTACATTGCAGAAAACACTTCTTGGTGACTTAACTTAACAGAGCATTGGAAGATTTGACATAATTTGGTGTAGAATTAATAAGACATACAGGTGAATTCATTGGAGAAGGTGTTAAGGCATATTGACTAATGTTATGCCCTGTAGACAGGTGAATTTATTTTTTCATAAAGATCACTAATTTACTTTTTTAAAAAAGATTTTTTTTTGAAAGGCAGAACTACAGAGAGAGAAGTTGAGACAGAAAGAGAAATATCCTCCATCCACTGATTCACTCCCCAAATGGCTGCAAAGGCCAGGTCTGGGTCAAGCCCAAACCAGAAGCCAGGAGTCTCATCAGTGCCTTTCATGTGGGTGCAGGAGCCCAAGGACTCAGGCCATCTTCCATGGCTCTCCCAGGGCACCAGCCAGAAGCTGGACCAGAAGTAGAGCATCCAGGTCTTGAATCAGCACCTACATGGGATGCCAGCATCACAAATGACAGCCCAACTGTTTATGCTAAAACACGGACCCCTCTAATTTACTTGTAAACAAAATTAGCTTGAGATATCTTTGAGCTTTACAACTGAGAATTAATTTGATATATTAAGGCCTTAGTTTGTGCCAGAAAATGTAATCGGAACTGGAAATAGAAAGACATGGTCTAAATAAGTGGGAGAAAAACATTTAAACAGGTAACAATTGTACTAAAACCTACTAAATACTAAGTAAGGAAAAGATATAATGGAAAAATGGGGAGAGCACAACTAACCCTGGGTAATTTGGGAAGGCTTACTATTGAGGCATGAGTTGAATGAAGTTCACTTTTTCAAAAGTGAAGATGACTGTGTTAGAAAGAAGTAGCTCTTTCAGAATTATTGAATTAAGACCACAAACTAGAAAAGATTGAGGAATGGCTAAAGGGTTGTAATTTTGCCTGGTATAAAAGGTATGCACATCTTTATTTCTGTCTATTATCTCAAAGTTGCCTTTTCTATACTGTAAAGACAACCCCTTTAATTATTAGTTCTATCTCATCCCTCTTTTTAATCAACTGAGTAATAATTATTTTTATCTTCCTCACACTTGACTCATCAAAAGAATGTCTCCTGCCCTTATCATTCTATAAGAAATATTTTGCCAAACCATACTGGCGACAATCACGTTGCAAAATCTAAGGGTCCTTTGCCACTCTTTATTTTACAAATAGCTCTGTTCAATTTTTCTGATGTTGTGCATTCTCTTGAAGTTTCCTCCTCTGCTAGCTCCTGGTATTACAGGTTTCTCTGACCTACTTAAGTAGCACTTCTGGGGGTTTTGTTGTTGTTTTGCCCTTTCTACTTCAGCCTGATGTTTCCCAGGTTACCATCATTAGCACATTGTGCTTCTCCACCTACACAGTCTCTCCAAATGATGTCATCTACTTTGATGGTTTTAGTTATTACCTAAATGCTATTAACTTGCAGAATTTCAGTTCTGCCTCGGTTTCAAACTCATAACTCTACTTGCTGAAAATCTCCACTTGGTCAAGCCATAGGTATTTAAACCCAGCATGTCCAAATTTAGCAATTTCACCATTGTGCCCTTTTACCAATCATGAAATCGGTTTCCACTTGTACCTCTTCTTTCACTTAATGGTACCTTGTATCATCATCTTAGACTCCTCTCTAAACCTAGCCACACATATCCATCCACTTATCAAGTCTGATTTAAAAAAAAAAAAAAGATTTATTTATTTATTTTTTGAAAGAGTTATACAGAGAGAGGTCTTTCATCCACTGGTTCACTCCCCAGTTGGCCGCATCTGAAGTCAGGAGCTTCTTCCGGTCTCTGACGCAGGTGCAGGAGCCCAAGGACTTGGGCCATCTTCTACTGCCTTCCTGGGCCATAGCAGAGAGCTGGATCAGAAGTGTAGCAGCTGGGTCTCAAACTGGCACCCATATGGGAATGCCGGCGCTTCAGGCCAGGGCATTAACCCGCTGCACCACAGCGCTGGCTCCAATCCTGATTGTTTTAATTCTTAGGTATTCTTAACTCCCTTCCTCCTCTCTATCTGTTCAAATGTTTACTTGACTAAATTATCTTTCCCATATTTGACTACTACAGTCCCTATTACAGTAACTTATAAGTTATGTTTATTTTCCTGCCTCTAGATTTATGCCCCTTGCCTCAGTAAATATGTGTCAGCCTTTAGGAAAATGATAAGTGCAACAAATGAAGATTAAAGTAGGTACTAAGGCTACCCTGTGAAGAGAGATTTTAACTAGGGAATTTGGACTTCACCCAGACTGTGTGAGACCAGTGGAGTTTTTCAAGTATAATGCATTGACTTAGGACTGCATGCATATATGTGAATGTGTCTGTGTATTGAACTGGAGGACATAAATGCCAAATTTGGAAAAGTCTGCAAACTGATAGTGTATGAAGTTTAACCTTTCTCTGGAATCCAAAATTCTTTTCCAAAGAGCCTAAAGCTACTTTCAAACCTAACTCGCTGACTGATTCAAAGTAACATACCGCCTGGAACTGCTAGCAGGAAGAGTGTTCTGATGAGGTCAGCTATTCCACAGCCTGCTTGGGGCTAGCCTTAGGAATTTTTGCAAGCCTTTCCTCTAGACCCTTGTTTATAGTTACCCCACTTCAGCCTGTAACAAGACAGCTCAGGTCAGTGCCCACATTGTAATAACAGCAACTAACACATATCTAACACTTCCTCTGTGCAGAAACTGTGAAGCATCTTACAAGTATCATTTCATTTCATCCCAGCACAGTCTGTAAGATTAGCATG